AATGAGTGTTGTGATCACATAGCCTCACCCCAGTGGAGAAATGTGTTTTCGCTAAAACTATAATTTACTACTTCAGGTCTCCCCCACTCATAGCAAAATGGTGACTTTGCTATAATAAGGGAGTCAAGGAATAATATTTAATACTTGCTGGAGACAATGATACAGCTGTAATGCCCAACTGAAAGAATAACAAGAAAGAAATGTGGCATCGCTCCCATGTGATGAAGATAAAGACTAAACAATCAACAAGGTGGGCTGCAAAGACACTTTGAGGTTTGGAAGGTGGAGGCGAAGCAGCAGCCCTGGTATGTCAGGGTCGGGGAATTAGGCTCTACAGCAGGCTTTATTCATTGACACAGGGCAGCAGTCAGGCCTAACCTGCTCCACTGTTTCCAGATTCTCCCTCACCTTCTCCAGCTGCTGGGCCAGATGCATGCTCTACTCAAGATCACCCACATCATTGAAGATGGAAGTGATGAGAGACTGATAGGAGATCCACTCCATCCTCATGGTTTCTAGCACCTATTGGTGGTTCCTGCTTGTCTTTGTTCTCCCCTGTTTTCATCCACTTTCCCGTCTGGCTTCTCCAACAGACACAAAGACCACGTAGCCAACTCCCACACTGCGCAGGGTCAAATCCCTCTAAAAATTCCCCGGTGGTATTTGCCTGTTTGTATGAGATAACACTGTTCTCAATGGGATCAACAGTCCTCATTCTTCTAACACTTGGGATTTTTTTTGTTCTTTTATAGTTTTTATAATTCTGCAATTTTTTAATTTAAAAAAAGAAACATTATAATATCATTAAGAAATATTTTGATAAATGGAAAAAATATTTAACCCATAATTCCTTCTCTCTTACAGGCCAAATGTTTTGTGTATTATAATCTCCAATAACACGAGGCAGTTTAGGGCTTGTTTTAGTTAGTTCAGGTTGCTATCACAAAATACCACAGACTTGTAAACAACAGAAATTTATTTCTCACAGTTCTAGAGGTTGGAAGTCCAAGATCAGGATGCCAGCATCGTTGGGTTTTGGCAAAGGCCCCCTTTCAGGTTGCAGACTGCCAACTTCTCACTGTGTCCTCACATGGTGGAAGGGGTAAGCTAGCTCTCTGGGGTCTCTTTTATAAGGGCACAAATCCCATTCATTAGGGCTCCCCCTCTCTCATGACGTAATCACGTCCCAAAGGCCTCGCCTCCTTGTACCATCCTCCTTGTACCAACTGATAAATTTGGGGATGGGAGGGGGGACAAAATCATTTAGTCCATGGCAGGGTTCATAAGTTTTAATACAGATTTTTCTTGTAGGAAGTTGTTCATCACTGCTACCATGAGAAGAGGTTCACAACATTCCTATTGGGACCAGCATGTACAGGGTAGTCATAAATAAATAAGATATCTTTATGTGTACCACACATCAACCTTTACACTAATATTTCATTAGCTGTACTAGGCAGTCCATAGAGGAAGTTCAATGTGCCAAATCACTGCTGGGTTTATAAGATTGTGTATACAGGATATATATATACAACTTTGAAGTTTTTGGAAGTTTTTTGCTTGTTTGTTTGATTTGCGTGCCCTGATCTGACCAAGTTGTCTAAATGACAGAATCAAGCTCTAGTGCAAGTTCCTGTTGTGCACAAATGTTGGTTTCCAAATACCATTTCCTACTAGAAGGAACCAGTGCTCATTGGAGAAATGACTTATTGTGGGTCTGACACAAGAAATGTACAAGAGGAGCCTGGAACCTCTGTCACTCACATCAGAGATCCAGGAAGCTACTGAGACTACTCAGTTGTTTCAGAGGCAACAACAACTAACTTCAAGTGGCTACTCCTTGCCAAAGATGATTTTGAGCATTAAAAAGAATAATTAAGCCTGACCTGTGTAGCTCAGTGGTTGAGCATCAACCTATGAACCAGGAGGTCACAGTCTGAATCCCGGGGTCAGGGCACATGCCCTGGTTGCCGGCTTGATCCCCAGTGGGGGGTGTGCAGGAGGCAGCTGATCAATGATTCTCCTCATTGATGTTTCTATTTGTCTCTCCCTTTCCCTCTCCCTCTCCCTCTCCCTTCCTCTCTGAAATCAATAAAAATATATTTTTAAAAGAATAACATGAAGGGATTAGTATATGCCACACCCAAAATATGCCACTTTAGCATAAGGATTATCTTGATCTGAAAGCAATTGAGAAGCCACAGATACATAAGAAGCTCCCTTCCCTCCACCTATCTACCTAAAGACAGGATAAAGTTTCCCTTTGTGAAGGTGTCCCTCTCTCTCCTACCAGAAAGGGAAGAACAATCTTTATCACTGGAGTTGGAGATAATGGGCCTACTAAACACACCTTACTAAAATAAGCTTAATCATTCATTAATTTCCCTCATATATTTACCTTCCCACACTTTATCCCCCCTTTTCCTTTGTCTTGTCAATTCCCCACAAATTTATTGCCCTTTATTAAAATGATATATAAGCCCACAGGTCTAACTGCCTCTTTGGATCTTCACTCCCTTTTCCTTGAGGCTCCCAGGTGCATACATAATAAACCTTTCTCCTCTTAATCTGTCTTATATCAATTTGATTCACGGGCCCATTCACTGAGCCTAAACCCCATCAGTACAATGAAGTGAATTAGTTATGCAAATAATAATAATAAAACCTTGAGAGTATTTGCTTAGGAAGTTTTCAATATTCAGTATTTTTGGAAGTGTCAATGAAGTACCGATGGGGTGGTCATAATAATCTGTCCGGTCATAATATTAATCCTATGTTCAGTGACTGAAAGCTTGATTAATTAAATGAATAAATGAACAAATGTACCAGCCTTCCAGGCCACAAGAATAATTCTTTGCCCCTTTCAATTCCTCCTATATACCCCTACCATGAATGTTCCTTTTAAAAAGGTACAATTACCCTAGCCACCAGTTTGGCTCAGTGGATAGAGCATCAGCCTGTGGACTTAAGGGTCCCAGGTGTGATTCCAGTCAAGGGCACATGCCCAGGTTGTGGGCTCGATCCCCAGTAGGGGACCTGTAGGAGGCAGCCAATCAATGATTCTCTCTCATCGTTGATGTTTCTGTCTCTCCCTTCCTCTCTGAAATCAATAAAAATATATTTTTTAAATAGATAAATAAATAAAAATTAAAAGGTACAATTATCTTATTACTCAAGGGTCTTATTTTAAGCTATAGTATCAAACTGAACTTTTCTGCTTCCCTTTGAAGGCTCCAAATGTGGTCCAAAGACATTTCCCACCAGCCCCCAACTTTTCTGCTTCATGATTTCCCATTCTTGCCACTCTTGTCCCTGAGTCAGCCCTCTGCTGGAGCTGCCTCTACTCCAGTGGGACATCACCTCATTCCTTCTATCTGATTCCCTAATCCCACCCATTTCCAACAGCTCCCCTGCAATACCTTCTCCAGCTTCCCCAGATCACAGTCATTTTTCCCAAGGACCAGAACTTCAAAATGAAATAAGTGATTTCAGTCACTTTTGTGTTCAGTTGACAAAAATGAATACAAGGAAGTGAAGTGGCAGCCCCAAGCTCCTTAGCAAGACAGCAAAGCCCTGTGTACCTTCAACCAGTCCAATGTCCCTTCCCCTCCACACACAGGGTCCTGTCTAGACTGCAGGGTATTCAAGGGTGGTATATTTCACTGTGTCCTCCAAAACAATGGATTGCAAAGTAGGGTGAGCATACCCCTCCAGGAGTGCCCAGTGGCATCCAGTAAGAAAATACTGAAATTTCTATTTATTTTATCCTTTAAAATTTTCTATTTCTACATGCATTTAATATACATCATCTTTTGGTATAGTAGGACATAAATATAACTGATAAATACACACCATGCATATATAGAGGTGCATGCCTTCATCTATATAAAATGTTTTTAATTAACAGGGTTGTAACCACACACACACACACACACACACACACACACACACACACACTAGCAGCATCTGCAGTAGACTGCCCAGCCAACCCCTGAGCATTAGTATCCCTAATATACACTGAGTGGCCAGATTATTATGACTGGCCAGATTATTATGACCACCCCATTGGTACTTCATTGAAACTTCCAAAAATACTGAATATTGAAAACTTCCTAAGCAAATACTCTCAAGGTTTTATTATTATTATTTGCATAACTGATTCACTTCATTGTACTGATGGGGTGGTCATAATAATCTGGCCGGTCATAATAATCTGGCCACTCAGTGTATATATTCTAAAGTTAACCAAGAAACTGTGAAGTTATTTTGAAGGCGGTCTCCTTTCTCTGCTCCCTCCCCTGCTCTTTGAATGTCTATTTTTAAAAGCCATTCAGTAAACCCCATGGCTTCAGGCAGTTTCAATCTGTTCAAATTCCTAAGGACACTTAAAGGCAATCACTTCATTTAGAGAAGTCTTTCTTGAGAATGAAGAGAGGGTAAGTAGGAGAGAAGGCTAAAGGTCATGACCCCTGCTTGCTGGAGCACCTGGGCAATATTTCTCTATGAGCTCACTGATCGTGAGTTTATTTTGGTAACTTTCTGGAGACAAATCAAGTTGTAATTGAAAAGCAAGCATTGGTATATTGGTTGAGAGGAAAGAAAGCAACTGCTAGAATAAGCCACACAGCAGCGTTATGACTGGCAGGTGCTCAGCTGAAACCAAAATGCACATCCTTGTATGACTCTCCATATATAATTCAAATCTAACATCTATAATTGCTTACTCGGCCAAGAAATGGCGACATAAACCTTTGAAATAAAGGGATTGAACGAGGTGGCTCCTCTGGAAACAGGGACTGAAAGAAACTGACTGCTGGGCGGAACATGATTTTTATTTCTGTTCCTTACAGAGGCACGTTTTACATAAAACAACTTAGCAATTAGCTCTTTCTAGAAAGAAAAGGGAAAAGTTAAAGCAAAACACAATTCATTGACTTGTCGGGTCATTCCTACGTTCAAGTTTAAGTCCCTGGTGGTACTGATTGTGATTTATGTCCTACCTTTCATGGACAGTCTGTTGAGGACAAATACTGTGTTCTTCTCCATTGTTTTGATCATCTAGAGAATAAAAAAGAATAAATTTTGTCTCCTTAAACTTAAGCAAGAATTTTCAAAATTTTATCTAATTTTTTAATAATACTTCAACCAAAAAATGACATTTTGTAAATTGTTCATTCTCTAAGTGCTTCCCAAGAGATAAGAATTTTTTATTACAGAATTAACTATTAGTTGCATTTGGAGGTTTATTCTTCAGATCCAATTCTATTCTGTCAATACAGTCAAATCCACTGGAAGTGGAATTAATTATGTTTATGAAGTTCTGTTCAGGAAAGCACTGCTGGATAGCTACAGATGTTCCCACACCTGTTGACTATATACCAAATCCAGCACTATCCCCTGTACAGGAAATTATTATTAGTTCTCTCTGGTTTCCTTCTGTAATCACAAATATGTCAAATGATGACATAATGAAGGATTCAGCAGGATTTGCTCATCTAGAATTAGGACACTTGGGGAGTGCACCCCCAGGGCTCAGCCCGGCCTATGATCTCACAGACATCTGTGAGGTGAGGGACCAGGACAGCCAAAATAACTTCCCCGAGGGGAGGTGAGTCATACCCCTCTCCGTGAGACACTTGGATTTCAAGGCTGAAAAGAAAGAACTGAACACAATTTAATATCCAATAATAATCCTCAGTCACAAGTTGTGGAAAGTTACTGGAATGACTTGAATATGCTGAATGTTTCCCCTCAACATTAAAATTAAACAATCTTCAAGTCTAGAAATGCATCTGAGATGAAAATCAGTTCTATATTTTATTGTAGGTGGAGTCTCTAAGATTCCAAAATCCTAGATAAAATCTTTCAAAAATCCATGGAGAGTATTATGCTAAGCAAAATAAGTCAGTCAGAGAAAGATAAGTATCACATGATCTCACTCTTATGTGGAATCTAATGAACAAAATAGATCTAGAGACATATAAGCTGGAACAGACTTTCCAACCTCAGAGGGAAAGGCAGGGAAGAGTGGGTGGGTGGAAAGAGATCAATCAAAGAACCTATATGTATATATGTAAAACCCATGGACACAGACAATAGGGTGGTGAAGGCCTAGGTGGGGGCAGGGGTGGGCTAGCATAGGTCAATGGGGGAAAGGGGGGACATTTGTAATACTTTCAAAAATAAAGATTTTTTTTAAGTTACAGAGTGCTACTTGTACTATTTTATATTTGCAATAAATAAATGAATAAATAAATAAATAAATAAATATCCATTGATTATTAAGACATTTGTTTCTATTGGAGAAGCATGCACCAAGGACAGATGCAAAGAAACCACCATGGGTAGCACCTTAGAAGTCAACAGAGCAAAACTGCACAGTTAAAAAGGGTCTCTGCCCAGAATGATTGAGGTGGGGTAGGGAGGACGACTATGCTAATCAGAAAAAATGTTATTTGAGTTTTTGAGCCACGAAATGAGCAATAGGATTTGGCTGATGAAACCTATACTAGTTGGGAGTGAAGATGGTTTGTTTTCCTTTTTGCAAATATGTGACCTTTCCCTGGCCAGTTAGCTCAGCTGTTTGGAGCTTAGTATTTGACAAGGCCCACGGATTCAAAACCCACAGGGCCTGGCTAGCAATAAACATCACAATCAGAAAGCTTTCTTTTAGGTCGAACCATTGATCTACTATCCCTAAATAGTCTCCTAGAAGTATGATCCTTTTTGCCAAACAAAAGACTATGATTAACTGGGCAACCTGCTAAGCGTAATTGAAAACTTGAAGCACTTCATGTGACCCTGGGCAAGTTGCTTAACTTCTGAGTCTTAGCATCCCCATATTTAAATTGCAGTTTATAATGCTACAGACAGAAACAGTGTAGGGTTGTTGCCTATATTAAAGGAGTTACTACATGGAAAACTCTTAGAAGACTGTGAGGCATGGTGTAAGTGCTCAATAAATGTAAGCTACAATTAAATGATTATTTCCTTATAACGTATTAATGCTGAGTCAGAGGATTGTCTTCTTTTGTGAAAGTATGCGACTTGACCAAAAGCAAAGGACTGACATTGGAGATTCAGAGAGATGTGGTTAAGAACGAGAGCTAAACCAGCAGTTAATAGGATTCAATGAGTCTTAACCTGATCAAAGTGAAAGAAATGTCCTTGAAGAAGCCTAAGGAAGGACACGCTGAAAAGTAAAGAAATCCAGAAGAGGAGCCTCGTTGAAGACTATCTTTATCTTTATTGTTGAAAGTATTACAGATGTCCCCTTTGGGTTTGTTTGTTTGTTTGTTTGTTCCCATTGACTCCCTCCTCTCTGCACCCACTCCTCCCAAAGCCTTTAGATCAGTGGTTCTCAACCTTGGCTGCGCATTAGAATCACCTGGGAATCTTTTCTAAAATCCTGATTTCTGGGCCTCATCCTCCGGAAATTCTGTTTCTTTGTTACTAATGTTGTGGCCTCACCCCATAACAAAGAAACAGAATTTCTGGAGGATGGGCCCAGAAATCAGGATTTTAAAAAGTTTCCCAGGTGGTTCTAATGTGCAGCCAAGGTTGAGAACCACTGCTTTAGATCAATATTAAGAAACCGGGTGTGATTTAGAATCTATGTGTTAGGTGTCTTGACTTTTCTTGAGGCAGAGAGGTGGTGGTAAGAATGCAAAGGTGGCTATAACCCTAGTTGAAAACAGTTCCCATTTGAGCGATACTGAGGCTGCAGGTGGAAGGACAAAAACCCATAAGCCTGAAGAGAAAAATATCTGTCTGAAACGCGAATGTGCTCCACCGTGCTTGCCCTCACCTGGCACCCCTTCTCAGAAGTCGGCTCTATCCATGCAGAGGGGTTGGGTTGGGTCGGGTGGGAGTGTTGGTGTACTTGCTGAATCAGTCCAGTGGGATCAGAAGCTAAGTAAACTTCCTCTGCAACAATAAAGACCTGCTAAACAAAGGATTATCCCCAAGAGGGGAAAAAAGGATGTCTTTGCCGTCACTCATCGCTCCCTTCAGGGAACAACATCATGAAAGCCAGCCTCAGACGCTTACAAATGGAGCAGCTTTCCCAAATCTGATTATGAGCCCTTTGGGCTTTGAAAATTATGGCAGCTTATGAAAAGTAACCACAGAGTACTCTGTGGGCGTGGAGTAGGGCCCTAGGGGAGTGTCCTGGGAAGGGAATAAATTCTAGCTGGGCCCTCCAGGTCTAGCTGCCAAAGAAAAATACAGAGCTTTCCATCAACACAGCCATTTGCAGTTTTGGCTTAAAAACAAACAAACAAATAGTTCTTTGGGTTGTTTTGCTTTGTTTTTAATCATGTAGATATTGGTGGTTAATACAAAGTAAGATCTCTCCTAAAACTACAAAGATTGCAAACACAATATAAAAGAATACAAACCAAGGACAGTTTAAGTGTCCTCCTTCCTAACATCGTCAAAAAGAAAATGTGGAGTGTGTGTGTGTGTGTGTGCGCGCGTGTGTGATCCAAATGACCCCAGAGATCTATAGGCTAAGGCAGGGCTGATGCTGATGGCAGCACTGTCCCTCTCCTGCCGTGACAGACCTTGCTAATCAATCATGGTACTATTTCTCTTCTCAAAACATCCAGGCATTCACCCATCCATCAGAGATGGTATGAAAGTGGAGACCAAGTTGTGAAGATATCTAGGAATCTCTTATGAGCCCTGAACAGAAGTAAGTATAAGAGGATACTTTAGACCGGGCGCCACAGTGCTGAGAAAAGAGCACTAGATTAGAACAATGATCATCAAACTGCAATGAGCACCAGAATCCCCTGGAGGGCTTATGCAAACACAGATTGCTGGATCTGACTCCTAGAAATTATGGTTGAGTACCAGCATATATGGGGCTTCCAAGAATTGGCATTTTTCATGAACTCCCAGATGATGCGGAGATATTGCTGGTCCAGACACCACATTGCAGAACCACTGGACTAGGGCTAAAGACATTGTAGTGACCTGATAATGACTCCCAGAGATACATCCATGTCCTAATCCCTGGGACCCTTGAATGGTACCTTATATAGTAAAGTTTTTGAAGGTACAATTAACTTAAATATCTAGATATGAGGGGATTATCCTGGACTATCTAGTTGGTCCTGCTAAAGACTGAATGTTTGTGCCCCCCAAATTCATATGTGATGGTATTAGAAGATGGGGTCTTTAAGAGGTTATTTAGTTTAGGTGAGGTCATGAGGACTGGGCCCCTTAATGGGATTACTGTTCTTATAAGAAGAGGAACAGATCAGAGCTCATTCTCTCTCAAATGAGGATATAGCAAGAAGGCAGCCATCTGCAAGACAGAAACAGTGCTCTCACCAAGCACCTGACATGCTGCACCCTGATCTTGGGCTTCCAGCCTCCAGAACTGAGAGAAGTGTGTGTCTTTTAGGCCCTTAGATTATGGTATTTTGTTATAGCAGCTTGAGCTGACAGACATGCCCTAAATGACATCACAAGTGTCTTTATAAGAGGGAGGCAGAGGGAAATTAGACACAGAAGAGGAGGCAGTGTAACCATAGAGGCAGAGATTAGAGTGATGCTGGAAAAGGGTGCTTCAGCATTGTCAGACCTGCCTCAGTAGAGTTCATTCTCACACAGAGCAAATCAGAGAAGATAGGGCATCATTATCATCTATAATAATAGAAGTGTAATATGCTAATTAGACCGGATGTCCTTCCGGACAAAGCCAGGGCTGTGAGGAAAGCCCGGTCCTGGGTGCCAGAGGGAAGCCAGTGCCAGCAGCTGGGGGAAGGAAGGCCTACTCTTGCATGAATTTCGTGCATCCGGCCTCTAGTGTAGTTATAATGTTCTCAGCAAGTTTCACCCCTAGAGTGGAGCCCTGAGCTGCAATAACCAACTCAATCATTTCCCACTACCCCCCGCCCCCCAACAACCTTGTCAGTGATTACCAATGTGACTTTGGGCAGGTAATTTGTTATCTCTGGGCCTCCTTTTCCAAAAGGAGGGTGAACCAAATGATCTCTAAGGAGCTTGTCTGTTTCGAGGGTCCCTGACATTTGAGACTATCATCTGTT